CCTCGTGTGGAGGCTGAAGAGGTCCAGGTGCCCTAGTCGCTCCTCGTAGGGCTTGGCCTGCAAGCCCTTAACCATACAAGTGGCCCTTCTCTGGACCCTCTCCAGGTTATCCGCATCTCTCTTGAAGTGCGGCGCCCAGAATTGCACGCAGTACTCCAAATGCAGTCTGACCAGCGCCCGGTAGAGGGGAAGTATCACCTCCTTGGCTCTGTTTGTCATGCATCTGCTGATGCATGATAAAGTGCAGTTAGCTTTTCTGATGACTTCATCACACTGCCGACTCATGTTCATCTTGGAGTCCACTAGGACTCCAAGATCCCTTTCCACTTCCACACTACCGAGCAGGTCATTTCCTAGGCAGTAGGTGTGCTGGACATTTTTCCTCCCCACGTACAGCACTTTGCATTTCTCCTTGTTAAATCACATTCTGTTGTTTTCTGCCCATTTGTCCAACCTGTCCAGGTCTGCCTGTAGATGTTCCCTGCCCTTCAGTGTGTCCACTTCTCCCCACAGTTTTGTATCAACCCCAAACTTGGACAGAGTACACTTCACTCCCTTGTCCAAGTCACTGATGAAGACACTGAAGAGTATCGGTCCAAGGACCGAGCCCTGCGGGACCCCACTGCCCACGTCCTTCCAAGTCGATACCGACCCATCCACCACGACTCTCTGGGTACGACCTTCTAGCCAATTTGCCACCCACCGGACTATGTAATCATCCAAGTCACAGCCTCTTAACTTGTTCACCGGTATGGGGTGGGATACCGTATCGAAGACCTTCCTGAAGTCTAAGCAGATGATGTCAACCCCTACTCCTGTGTCCAGGTGTTTTGTACCCTGGTCGTAAAAAGAGACTAGATTAGTCAGGCGTGATCTACCTGCTATGAACCCGTGCTGGTTTCCTCTCAGCATAATTTTTCCTGCTGGGCTCTCGCATATATGAGCCTTAATAATCTTTTCAAAGACTTTTTGATTACCCCAAAACTTCTCTGCCATTAGGGGGAATCTGTACTCTCATCTCCTCTGCTTTACCTTGTAGCGTGTTAAAGGGTAGTTTTGGTTTTGTGCCATGTAGTTGTGGTATTTGAGGTAGGAGGTGGAATCTGTGGGTAGATGGTTGCCTGAGGGACTAGACTTGATGACTCAGGAGATCTTTTACAGTGTTCTGTTCTTATGGTTCAAGGGCTTAAAGAATAAAAATAAAAATAAACCCTTACTGGGAATTAGAGTACCTTGTTTGAGGTTTGTAGGAAAATGCAATATTTTATTCTGTTACTTCAATTAAGAATCTACATTAAATTTTACACAGTATATAGCACGCATGTGGTGCCACTTAGAGACTCCTCACTGTTAGCATGGACTCAAGTGGCTCTTTAATTGTTGCTGTGAGGGTACAGAATCCTCACTGCCTAGCTGAAAATCTTCTACTTGTGAGCCATCAATGACAGCAATAAATCAGTTGACTGTCTCCACAGTGCCATCACTGAACAGCACAGGTAGCCCTGCTGCCCAATTAGGGTATGATTAAAAATTGCGCAGGACTGTGGTTAATTTCTGTCCTTTGGATTTGTGGGAGGGAGGAGGGGCAGGGAGAGGGGAGGACTGATTTATTTTTAAATTAAATTAAAAGTATATTACTGATTTGATTTATTGTCCAAAAAATACAAGCTCTTCGTAGCCACAAAAAAGGCAGCAACCATTCATTCCATTTTCAAATTTACTGAAAGAGCTGGATGCAGGAACAGAGTTAGGACCATGTGCAAATCAAGTTAGACAGACACTTGGCTGGAATGGTCTAGTCAGAGATCCTCCTGCCTTGTGAAGGGAGCTGGATAAGACTGTCTTGTGAGGTCCCTTCAAGCCCTACTTTCCTATGATTCTATGGTCGTAGCTGCCTCTACTTAGGTATTGTGACACTTAACATTTAGGTGCTTTGTCCCAGGAGGATGATCCAACCTGACAGGGGTTAGGCACCTGAGATCCCATACAGTAGGGCTGCCAACTGGTGCCTGCAAGGGGCCAGCATGTGACCTGTGGGCCATATGCAACTGCTTCTCCTGCCAAAATTGAACTGGATCTACAAAGTAGACAAAGTAAAACAAGGAGGCCTGGGGGTGTCCCAAGGGCAATCCAGATTTCCTGGTTACTTGCCTTCAGCTAGTCTATAGGAAATGCTAGGGCATAGTAGCGTCCCTGAACTCATGTTCCTCCTTGCAGCTTAAGCATCTGAGGCATCCCTCACCTTGTCCAGAAAGAAGGCAGGACAAAGTGGCACACAGCTAATTACCTCTCCTATTGTTGGCCACCTGCAAAGGGAGAGACTCATAAGACATTTGCTGGAAGTCTGAACAATGCATAAGAGGAGGAAACAGAAGGCATGTGATGAAAGAAATTATCATTTCCAAGAACTGCAGCAGTTCATTCTTGCTGGATACATGCGCAGCTCCAAAAGAGCCATTACAGTTTATTGTGGCAATGATGCACACACTGTATTGTGAAATCCCAAAGTAGTCACTGGCAGGTACAGTAATGGTTTCATAAACTTATACTGAGGTCCCAACAGTTCCTAAGGAGCTATCACGGCTGCAATGAAAATCTATCACCAACCTTGGTGTCTCATACACTTCAGTTTGAAACTCGTTTTCTTTTTGGCTTCATTGTCTTAAAATGTCACCATTAAAGAGCAGTTGTAGCAGAAAAACAGTTCCACAGAGCTTTATATGTATTCCGCCTCAATACTGCTGCAGCCCATTTATACAGTGCATGGTAAAAAACAAGTTTTTTATAACTGTCAGCTCAGCAACCTGATTTTGCATTGGCAATCATGCTGGGCTAAGTCTGCCTCTTAACCAGTTAGCAGAAATAAAGATTTTGGAACAGTTTATGCCTTGGTGAAAAAGAGCTATACTACCAGAGCTTAAATTTTCATTTACTACAGTGTTACCATAGTGCAGCTGACACATGTGATACACCCTCTTCTAACCTGCTCTAAGCTGCTTGTACTCTAACTCCCCATGTATTGTATAGGCAGCCTAGGCACTAACCCAAAACTACAGCTTCTCTTAGGGGATGTGTCCAACTTACATTTTGGGTCCATTCTAAGGAATCTAATATTGAAAGCTGGGATTCACAGTCACTTGAGCATCATTTTTGTGGACTAATCTCTGTGGGATTCCCACAATAAAATGAAGGATATACTAAGGTAGCAGATAACAAGAACATGGAATGTTTTATTTAAAATTTCCCTTGTTAATATTTTCCTGTTTGACACACTATACTAAAGAAAAAAACAAATGGGCTCCAAGCCAAACTGGATGCTATAATAAATAATAAGTGTATGCTTAGTACAATTATGCTGTAACTGCTGAAGGATTATAGTCTATTCAAGACAAAAAATGGATGACTGAGATATTCACAAAGCTTTATGTTTCATGATTCCTTAGCCTGGTACCCTGTATGGTCTATCTTGAAGTACTTATTATGTAATTGATGTTACTGTCCATTTCTTAGTTTGGATACTTTGGATACCATTCTAGCCTCCCTCCCTCCAAGATGTTTCTGTACCTGTCTCCTTGCTCATGTTAACCAATACAAATACTTATAACAATCCTTTTCCCCTTTTAAATAGTGTCTTCTATTTCTGTGAGTGAGCATTTCCTAGGCTTAAGCTAAAGTCTTGGCAATTATGCAACTAATGCATCACTTGTGATGATCTCTAAGCTTAGATATGCAATAAATCAAAGTTCCTTTCTGTCTAACCTCCGTGCAAGACAGGACTGGATAATGAGAGAGATTTCATCTGATAGAACAACAAATAAGCTATTCTGAAATCTTTCAGTCTCATATCATTATAGAAGAAGAAATGCACAGGGAGAGGTGCAGCAAAGGAGGGCAAACTATACACTAACTCATTATAGAAGGAAATAAAAAGAATGATGGACTCACTTTATCACTCAGCATGGAAAACAAATTCTCTCTACTTAAAACATCAATATTTTACATGAAGCTATTAAACTCTGATCCCAAACTTATTTGAGGCCCATAAAAGAGGTTTGGGGTTTTTTTCCCTAGAACATGCATTTTTGCAGCATATAAAATCATTAGGTTCTGAGGAGAGTTTAACAGACAGAAAAAGCTGAAAATCTCTAGTGATGGCTCTGGGGCCTTCATTAAGGGAAGAAGGACAGTTTCATAATGGAAGGGAATCATTACAAGGCAATTCCTGGTTTTGTCACAGATTTCATGTGTGACGCTAGATAAATCACTTAGGATGCCTGTACACAAGCCAGGAGGCTGCTCTGATGCACTGTATTTACAGCACATTGGAGCAGACTCAATCAAGTCTACTGGACTGTGGTAATTACCGCATTCCAGCCAGCCTCCATGTCTCGTGCATCAGCATCCCCACGCTTCAAAATGGCAGCTGGGGTGCTTGAACTAAAGCTCGTTCGACGACCAGTTTGAAGCGCAGGGACGCTGATACATAAGATACTCTGGGTGCTTTCATTAGAGAGGCTCTCGGAGCCCCCACAACTCCTGGCACACATGTAAAAATGCCCTTAATTCCTCTGGCCTCCAAACTCCCAACTGTAAAACCAGGATAATATTTCCTTTGCTCTGCCTATTTAGACCGTAAGTACTTTGGGCAATGATTCCGTCTTGCTATGTGTTTGCACAGTGTCTAGAATCAGTTAATGACTCTATAGACATTCCTATAATAGTAAAATTAATTCAACCTTTCTGGGACTTTTCTGTCAAAGATTTTCCTTATTACCTGTTCCTAGGAGGTGTGGATCATTTTGATGGTCTTCTCATACTCTTTAATTTTAAATGCATCCTCTTTTAAGGTTAAAAAAACGTCAGCAATGAACTACAAGCTCTAATTTTATTTCCTAATTGCACGCATGTATTTTTCTTAAGGGCCTTGATTCCAAAAGTCAATGAGAAATTAAACTCAGATTTAGGAAGTCTTTCAGTTTGGGTGCGGTTGGAACCTGTGCCTGTATTTCTTTGTATTTGTTTGAAATGGGTACTATTTGCAAAATTTGTTTTTGCATTCAGATTTGGATCAGACTCTCAGACTGTTCATGCCCAATACCACAAATTTAGATGGACTGACCAGTAAAAGGGAGATCTACTCGTGGCAGACTCTGATTTAACTCCATCAGCATTAATGAAAGTTATTCCATGGATTTCAATTAATGCTAGATCAGTTCCTACATCTCCCCCGTGGCTAAAATTTGCCTTGTGCAGAGGGTTCCCATGACAATTTAAGCCCATTTTTGAGACATCAAACAGGTGGTCAGTTTAGGGATAAATAAAAATATTTAGACTGTCATCTTGATTTAGATGGCAAAAACTAGTTTTTTATCTATAGAATTTCTAAGCACAAGAACTGGACTAGATGACATTGTGAGGTCCCTTCCAGCCCCACTTTCCTATGATCCCTTCCTATGAACTGCATTCTCTTCTGGCTCATGCTCCAAGAGACTTGCAAAATGATGTTCCAGTCATAATAACCATGCATGTCCCCCAACTGCCTTCCATACATGCCTTTTGTTAAGACTTGTGCAACTAGAGTGAAAGCAACAGGTGCAATGCGGCCTCAATTTACAGATGTAAGTTGGGTAAAATTTATGGTGTGTACAAATAGGACATGCAGATTATCCTAACTAAAGTACTGTTCCTGCAGAAACTTTCAGTATTGGCACTGATGCAGGAACAGAAAGACTTTCAGATATACACTGAGCTTGCGAGACTGGCAACTGCAGCAGCCATCCTTTTACTTGCAAACTGAGGAAATACATTATATAAACAGTAAGATGCACCTATGTCAACCCGGAGTTCTCCAGTGTGAGTTTTACAAAGTAGCTTGTCATTGCAGACATTAAAGCCTGGTACTTTGCTTACTGAAAACAATAGGAGACTTTTTCCTTGAAATTTGTTGCATCTAAATTTTCAAATTCTGCAGCTTGACCCCATCTCTAGAGATCTGGCTTAGTTTTATTTGCTTTGTTATTGTATCTATATGCAGCAGGCTATTTCATAACTATTAGATCTCCAGGGAGGCTTAGGGCTTTAGAACTGTCCTGTAGTCATTTAAAGTCATTTTTCCAGTGTCAAATTCAGAACACCTAGTTCATCCCGCAAAACACTTTTCACTTATACTTTAATCTCCCAAAGTTTCATTCTCATATTTCAGTCAAATACAAATCACAGTTCTTGGACTATTTTTTCCATAACAAAATATTTTTATGAAAGAAAATGCTACAGCTAGTTCAAGTTTAGTTCAACCTAATTTCTATGTTTAAGGTTTAAACAGAGTATTGGTGGATATGTTATTAAAGGAAAAATCTATAAAAAAATTCTGGTTTTGCAATTTTTTTTTTTCCCTTCATATTTAGGTGCAAAGCAGGATTGCCAGTTAAATGTGTGTAGCAACTGTTTACTGGAACAGATTATTATAAAGGCCAGCCCCGATGAAAATATTTCACATAAATTCAAAAAGGTATTCATGGAGAGCATAACTGCATTCTTGCTTAAAAAAATATGCATAATACTAGAAGCTAGCATACACTCAAGTCGTTCTCTTCGGCAGAATTCAACAAAAATCATGGGGCTATAGTATGCTGTGGGGGGAGGGTTGCTCTGTGTTGCATTTTATGTTTACTTTAGACATCTGCCATTAGCTCCCAAGCTACATAGTACGGTATGTAATTGGAACATTCCCTTTAAATAAGCTGAAACTGGAAAGAATAATTTAAGTATAGAACTGGAAAGAAAAAAAAAAGAACAGAGCAAAAATATATTATGACAAGCATAAATTCAACAGTAGACATTATAAAGCATTATAAAGTAGTGAGAGTTACTTTTCATCCAAGGGATCTACATTTGATAATAAGCAGATATTTTTCTCCTGGTTTGATTTCTGGTTATAAAGAAATTTTTCACCTTTAAAATTCTGTGATTTGAAACATACCTGTCACAATTAGATCCTACTCTGTTGATTAATTTTTCCATGGCTTCCTCAGTTTCTCTCAATTTTTCTTGTAGTTGGGTGAGTTCATAATCAGCTGCAAAACAAATAGGATCCCAAGAGCTATCACTAGAATCTTTGAAAACGTATTCCTGTTCTATTAACAAAGCTGGATTGTCTCAGCAAACAGTATATCCAGACAAACTAATTCAGAGGCAGCTAAGAGACACAAATAAGAGAGCCCCTAGGAATGTTCTCTTTCACTTCTCCAGGTATAACAGAAGGAGTAAAGAGAGTTCCCTAAGATACAGAAAAGGAACCGTCTCAGAATGGCTCACAAGCAACCACTGATATGCAGAGTGATTGGCTGATTATAAACGTCTTGGAGATTGAAATGATATGGCAAAAAATGTCACCCAATCATATGTTCTAATGGAAATGTAGTAATAGTCTAACCTATTGTGAAGTTACCTGTTCTCACTAAATTCACCAGATAAATTCTTGTGAACAAAGATTCAAAGTTACTGTATTTAACAGATTTTCTATGGCAGGGAGGACAGGGCCAAGCGACAGCTGCCTCCTGACAGGGGCTGGGAGATTGCTCCCTGCCCCTGGGAGCTGCCTGCTGCCAGGGCAGACTCCAGTGGTGGAGCACAGGCAGGGACAATGTTCGCCTGCTCCGGCAGCAGGCAGCTCTAACCCTGGCTCCCCAATGGGGGTGGGAGGGAGCAGGAGGCTTGGAAAGAGCTGCGGGGAGAGGGGCAGGTCTTAGCCCCCTGTCCTGATGTGCTTGTGGGGCAGCTAGCAGCAAGCCCCCAGATGGGCAGGGATTCTCCACCCAACTGGGGCTGGCTGCTACCTGCCCCACTGGCATCCAGCAGCACTTACATGTGTAGACACTCCCAGTGACCATGTCTACATGAGTGAGGGACTGCACAATTGTTACTGCACAGTCATTTAGTACTTGCTCATCCAAGTACTAAATGACTCGGCCGTAAGTGGCGTTACTGTGCAGTACCATCCCTGCATGGTTTTTTAGACGCTACTGCACAGCAGCAACAAGCTTGTTACTACTGTTCAGTAGTCTCGTCGTCACAGTTCATGCCCAGAGACGCTGTGGCACCATAGCAATGAGCTATAGTGCAGTTGCTCGCTGCTACTGCGATGTAGCATCTTGTATAGACATACACACTGATCCAGCAGAAGCCCAGACTGGGGTCTCATCAAGCAGCACACTGCTGAAACTCATACTGAAAAACAGCTGCTGCTTTGAGGCACTTACAAACTGATTCGGCAAAGAATGTGTTTAACTTTATGCACCACTGACTTCAATTGTTTCATGACATCAGGCTAAACAGTTGGGAAGAGAAACTGAAGTGGAGAGTAGGGAAGTCACTTCTGAAAGGTTGCAAAGCATGTTAATATTAGAGAAAGAACAGAAGTCTCCTGATTCCCAGTCCAATGATCTATCCACTAACCCATACTGTCTGCACTTCCCAAGTGATAGATACTTAGGAGTACAGATAGAGGCATAAAAACATAGTTGACTGGTATCATTTGTTTTCCATCACTAATTTTGTGATCCTGTAAAATACTGCAGTAAATATTTGGCTCCTTGAAACATAATTCTTCTAACCAAGTATTGTAAAAATTATTTTTATCTCTAATTTTTATAATTAGCTGTATTTATTTCACAAAATTGCTGTGCATGTGTGTGTAGATCTGTGGTTCTCAACCTTTTTAAAGTCAAGGCATCCCTCTGAAAAAGCCAGCTCTTACTTTTCACTCATTTTTTTGACTACAGAAAAATACTAGAGCAATTCTTCTGTTGCAAACAACTCAGACAGACCACAGCAGGTCAGAAATGTTTCTAACACTATGAATCCCGGTTTGAAATATTTGGGTTCATCTTGCAAATCATGTTTACACACCTCACAGTGATGACATTATATGACACCCGGCAACACTAATGAAAGTATCTCAAGGCACCCTAGCTGAGAATCAGTGATACAGATAATAAAATGTATAGTACTGTACACAAGACCTGCATGATATTACCAGACATGTATATTTATGTCAAAATTATTACACTTATGCTAAGGAAAACATGACATGACTCTACTGATGGTACTCTCTTTTAATACACTAGTTATATTTTCTCTGAGAATCTAGCCAACAAAACAATGCATGTAAATAGTGCTTTTATAATAATAACTATTTGTCTGAACTTTAAAACTAACAAATTAATTTGTGTAATTACAGCCTAGAAATAGACAGACTTATTATGTCATTGGTACAATTTCCATCAATCATAGAAAAAAAAAAGACAGTAATGGGCGAGAGAAAAAAACGGTTGCCCAATTTCTTTATAATCCAGATATCACCTTTTAGCAATCCAAGATGTGAGAATGGAAAGAAAGAATGCAACAGAGAACATAGTAACAGTTCAGTATATGCAAATGCAGAAAAAGATCCCCATCTAAGAGCACTTAAAAAATTTCGTAATCTAAAATTTCGTATTGCAGCCACATCCCAAATTAATTTTTAATCACCTGATATCTTTGGCCTTTTGTTATTTAGTGAAGCTGATTCAGTGAAAGTCAATAGAAACACTCATCACTTTCAGTGGGCTTTGTTTCAGGCCCCTATTCTGCAGACTTGTTAGTTAAGGTTTGTTCAGTGCTTTGAAGGAATAAAGTGCTAATTATTATTACTGCTTACTGGAGACCTAAATCATAGAGTTAATTTCTTTATAGGTTTGACTGGATTCACAAGTGATGAATTTAAAGACCAATTAAATTATTATCTTGCCCTAGTGAAAAACCTTTTACCCTCCAATCCTGCAATTCATGGAGTCACACCTACATGCAATAAATTGCAGGAGTGGAGCATTATATTCTATAGGTCTACTTTAGTGTGAGATGAGCTGAAGAGTTTGTCCTTGTACAATCTGTATTGTGTGCCTTTCTCTGTAGATGGGGTGTTATTTGTACTAGTTATGAGTACTGGTGATTTAAAAAAAGTTTTTAAAAAATCCAATACCCTCAAAAAAGAGAGAAGTATAGGCTCTCCTTGTACTGTTTTATATTGTTCTCAAAATGTACACACTTCACCTGTTATTGCAAAGAAATCAATCCACTAAATGGTTTTATTATGCACATTCATTTAGTTGGAAAGTGATGTTACAGTACCTGTTTTACCACAGAGCTGATTTATCCAACAGCAACAGAGAAGCTATTGCTTGCTGTCATATTACACAGAAAAGCAATTTTGGTGCGTCCAGAAGACAGAGAGACAGGTCTGAATATCTGAAGAGTAAGCAGTGAAGTGGGTCATTTCTAATCATCTTGGAAATAATACTTACTGATTTTCCTATTCATGTTTCCAGGTATAGTAGAAGGACATTTCCGCTCCCCTGTAGTGGTTTTTCCCTTGGAAGAGAGCTGATAAGTGGAAAAAATGACTATTGTAGGAGTTATAGCAAGAGCAGTACAGAAGTCCCAAAGAGATTAAAGCAAAGAAAGAGACAGAAATTAAAATTATACTAGAAACCATCCACTGAAAAGCACAAGAGAAAAAATAAAACATGACTGCAAAGAAACCTAGAAATCTAGATTATCAAAACTACCATCAGATCTTCATAACAAAGGACATTTTAAAGAAAAATGAAATATCACCTGATAAAATGTCATATTTACATTTAAAATATTTGTTGCAAGTGGCCTCTGTTTCAAGTGGCCTGAATTGTGTGCACATAGCACACACACACAAAGGGTTTATGACTTAGGTAACTACTGGCTAGAGTAAAAAGTATCTATTCCATTTCTCTCTCTCTATAGCAAAAATGTTCTGCCATTTATTTACTTCTCTGCCTTTGTATTCTCACTCCAACAGACCCACACACAGATGCCAGGAGTTTCTACTAAAAAGCTCTAACCTCTCCATGTACTGCATCTCCTCTGTATGCTCTGTAAACACAGTGGATGCTCTTTAACTGCTTAAGCAGCCCAGCCAACATATCTTATTCCTGGCTTGCAGCAGCACTTCTGCTTCTCCTGTCATAGGACTTTTCTGAGCACAGACTGACAATCATTCAGAGTCACAGTTTGGTGCCAGGTTCCATTGTTGCTCTAGGAGGAGAGGCAATCTACAAAAGCTGCCACAAACTAGCCTCCCTCCCCTGCTGCTTGGTATATTGAAGTATTGTAATCAAGGCAGCAAACACTCTGGATAGCGCACATAGCCCTGTCAGTACCATTTCAATCCATTCAGGAAAAACAGCAGCAGCTCTGAATGGTTGCTCTCCTATCCCCCTACACTAACAGGTGATGTATCCCCAATAAGATATGTAGCATGAGCCAAAATAAAACCCATTTGAAGTTTATACGGGCAAATATTAGGTCTTTTTGAGACGTGGATATCCATAACAAGTTCTAATGGCTTAAACCATGTTTAAGCTGCCTTTTTAAACCTGAATTTCAAGCCAGATTCTTAGCTAAGGTGGCTCCATTGAAGTCAATGAGGCTTCACTGATTTATGCCACTAAAGTTGTATTCCTTTCATTCTTAGAGGGATTTAATATTTTTCCTTAACCTTTGAGAAGGAGAAATGATGTGATCTACTTTCACATGCCCTTTCTCCAGCAAAAGAATGGCTCTCTAAAAAAAAAAAAAAAAAATTCTTCTGGAAATCTTAAAAGTGAAAGGATTAAAACCAGATATTACATTGGGACGTACGCTACAGTCTTAATGAGAGTGCCATTGCAACAACTACCAAATGCAACACAGCCATCTTTTACTGTCCCATTAATTTACTCATTGAAGACGGGTTGAAATAAAAATATTTTTGCCAAAACGATTTTTAAGTCAGCTCCAAAGTTAATATTTTCTTGTGATTTAATCAGAGTAAACACCCTGAAAAATGGATCCATCCTTCTTACCTTAAACAGAATATACAAGATGTATAGAAAGATTCCAAATCCATAAATAGGTATGATCTGTCCCACCAGGCCTCTTCCGCTGCTGCTGCCGCCGCCGCCTCCTCCTCCACCCCCACTTGCCTTGGCCTTGGCAACTGCTTCTGCAAGATGAGACCTTGGAAAATGGCCTCCAGACCTGCCATCTGGGGCTACCTGGTGAGGCATCATTGGTGGAAACCGGTCTGTTTTCCCTGAAAAAAAAACACCCCAAACCACAAAGTAGTGTTTGTTTTTTCCCCCTCTCTGTAAGTATCATGAAATACTCAAGGCTGGATTCATTTGTATCATATTGCCCCCAAGAACCATAGCCCCCCCCCCATTAAGGTGTGCTGAACATGTTATAATTGTGGACACTGTAATTTAGGATGGGCAGCTCCATCAAACACTTGGGCAAATACAGTTTCTCTTCTCATTTCACAGAAGTGGAAAAGAAGGTAAGGAGGTTAACACAGACTTGAGTGTTTGCCTTAGGCAAGGCGGTCCAATTTTGGCACAGCTGGGGACTGCGCACGAAATGTACAGAACATATGCTGTGCAAGCAGGCTCCAGGGATCCCCCCTGCCTTCTAGGTTCCCTCTACACCAGCAGTTCCCAAACTCTGGCAGTTTGCGCACCACCAGTTTAAAACAATGCAGCCTTAAGCACCGCCAGCTAATTTCCCGTTCCACCTTCAGTACCACCAGCAATTTTTCGGTTATCTAAAGTGATTATATGGAGACTAGACGGTCACCTCACTGTGACCCCCAGTTGTCTTTCCTGCTTGGTGCAGGGGGCTGGACCCGACGATCTTCCGAGGTCCCTTCGGGCCTCACAATCTATGAATAATAAATCAGTTAACGGGTACCACGGACAGGTCGTCGGTGTACCACTGGTGGTACCATACCACAGATTGGGAACCGCTGCCCTACACCGGGTGAGCCACCTGGCCAGTGCACAGGCCCCTCCGTGCAGGCAGCGGGGGCAGCATGCGGCCCCCAGGCCTCCCCTGCCACACAGCGGCCTGTCGGCCACCGCCTCCAGCTGAGCGCCCCAGAGCCCGCGGGAGCCCCCCTCAACGGGGATTGGGGGGGGGGGTTCTGTGCCTCAAAGAGCTGCGACCCGCGCCTGAGGCGGGCCTGAACCTTCACCACAATTTGGGCACGCTGGTGCAAGGCGCCGCACTGCTCTGTGCTCACACGCACCTTGCACGAGCAGCGGCCCGGACTGGCGGCGGGAAGGGCGCGAGGGGGCTCACCTGGTGCCGGACCAGCGCCGACCTGCTTCCTCCCGGCGGGGCTCGGGGCAGCGATGGGCTCCGCGATCCGCCTGTCGCCGCGCGGCACCGCCTCTTCCGGGGCAGGGCTGCGTGAGGTGTCTGCCGCCGGCTCGGGGGAGGGGAGCGCCCCGCACCCCCGGGAAGAAGCAAAACCCCGAAAAGAGTTTAAGATGGCACGTTGTTCCGTTGATTTTGCTTCGTAAAATGCTCTCACACCGGTTTGTCCTGTTCCGTTTATTTTGCTCCGTTGAACGAATTCACATTCACAGCTTTTGCTGGCTCTGCACATCAGTCCGACTGTTTTGCTGTTACATGGATTCACGGTCAGCTTTCCGCTCGCGTTCGTGTTGCTCCGTTATAGTGATTCATAGTTATAGAAGTCATAGGCGTTAGGGCTGGAAGGGACCTCGCAGGATCATCCGCTCCAGCCCCGCTACCCCAAGGGGCAGGACGTGTGCTGGGCTCCAGTGAGCCCAGCGAGATAAGCATCCAAGTGGTATCCAGGTTAGGTGCTTGCACCACTTCTGGGGGGAGTCTATTCCAGGCTCGGGGCACTTGGGCAGTAAAGAAGTTTTTTCCTATGCACAGCCTAAAACGGTCTTGCAGGAGTTTGTGACTGTTAGACCCTGTCTTCCCTTGGGGTGCCCTGGTGATCAGGCATTCTCCCAGATCCTGATGCACACACACCCCTGATGTACTTATAGGCTGCCACCAAGCGCCCACCCCCCCACCACTCTGACGTCGTCCCCCCGAGCGCCCCCCCCCCCCCCAGCCTCCACTTCTCCAGGCTGAAGTGTCCCATGCCTCTCATGCCTTTATTCAGCTTTCGCTTTTTCTGCACATTAACCAGTTTATTTTGCTCTAGTTTCTCAAAATTCCACCAAATTCAGTGTTTTGGCCATGCAATTTGCTGTTTTGCTGGTACATGACACTTCGCGGGTACATGACACTTTGTCTTTTGTCTTCCAGCCCTGCTGGGCCCCGTCTACATTTGCTCCTTGCTCTCCAGCTTTCTCCACAAGGAGAAATGAGTTGAATTACATTCCAGTCTCCTTGCACTGTGCCACAGAGTTAGGCAGAGCTGGAGTGTACAGTATGGCCAGAGGAAGAGCCAGAAATACAAGCAACCAAGGTGGGCTACCTGAAGAAGGGTGCTACAGCCAAGCTTAGGTCCAGCTACAAACACCCCCTTCTTGGCATGTAGGGAAGGCAGTTGGTGCTGGACCAGACCACCCTTGACAGTATGACACCCACTGGAGGCAGGCCACACAGCAAGCACAAGTGTGCACACACACAGCTGCACACAAAACCAAACTCATTGCTGGAATATCACTGAAAATAATACTTGATTTAATTTTATACTCTCTGAGTCACAGCGTTGAGCATTTTTACAGAGTGGGGTGATAAAATCCAATGGAAGGTATTTCATGGAGACAGAATAAACTAACACTGCCATTGAATTAAAGGATTATATCACCAGTATGCCAGAGTCCTGAGCGGAAGTTATAAAATGCAGTGAGTATCAATACTGTCTTGGTAAGTTATATCAGTTTAAAAAAATCTGTTCAAACATTCTGCTAAAAAGTTTGTTTGGACCAAGAATGATATATTTTTTAAGTCTTGTGGGAATGAGCAGCTCTGTCCAAATGCACGGTCTGTGACCCAAAACACTCTCAAGCCAGTTCAGCCCTTGCCTTCATTCTGTTCAAAGTTATTATACAGTCTAATTTACTGAATTATTAAAAATGAACCATGCAAGAC